AGGCTCCCAAGTTAGTGATTTACATCTACCAAAGTGATTGCTGTTGGGTAGTTTGGTTTGTGCCTGTAATCTCAGAACTTGGGAAGCTGAGGCAGAAGGGTGATGAGTTCTAGGCTAGCCTGAACTACAGAGGGAGAAAATGCCTCAGAAAACCAAACCAAACCAAACCCAGCAATTTAAACAAAGCAATTAAAAGCAGAGATCCACTGGGCATCGGTGGCACTGGAGAGGCAGAGGCAGGTGGCTCTCTGTGAGTTTGAGGCCAGCCTGGTCTACAGAGCCAGTACCATGACAGTTCCAAAGACACACAACAAAACTTGTTTAAATAAAAAAAAGAATAAAAAAATAAAAAGGGCAAAGCAGATACCTGTAGATGCTGCAGACAGACCTCTAGGTCTCATGGAACTGGTCACCTCCAGCCCACCAGTAGTTTTCTCCATTAACCCCTTCATGCTACATGAAAAAAAACCTTCTTCATGTGCTCAAATTTGAGAAGTTAGGAACCACTGATTCCAAATCAAATGTTTCATACATGAACTCAATTCAGTATATTCCTAACCTGGCAAGCATGAGCATACTAAAGTCTTATCCGCTTCAGGAGAAAATGTTCCTAGATATCCCTGTGTGCTTCACCACATAGCTTCCATGACATCCGGCACATGTCTAACCCTATAGTGTCAGTAACAGGGAGCAGAGAGACAATGCCAGCACAGGTTTCCAAGAAGGTCTCTCAGGGGTTGGACAGAAGGGCATGTTGGAACCAAGTCAGGCCCTCGGCCTGCAGAGTTAGCAACTGGCAGCAGAACTAGGGAATAAATGATGAGAGCAGTCTGCCCTCTGGTGATTTGTGCAGAGAACAGCAGAATGGCTCCTTACCAGCACCGAGCAGCAATGTGGACCAAAGGTTGATGTTCAACATCATGTGGTTGGAACCTGTTTGGTAATGAGCTCGCATGTGGTCCTGGGACACACCTGTCAGTCCATCCAGGGTCAGAGACAAGAGCTGGGAAAGGAAAGGGAGCAGCTGGCAATGAGGTGGCCAGCAGGGCCCCTTCCTAACCCAGGACACAAGACCTTCCCCTCAGGCGCTTCAAAAAGCGGCTGCCCCAAGACAGAGTCTTCAGAATTAATGCTGCCTGTGGGCAGAGGTAAGAGATAGAGAGAGACCATGCTAGCTGTCCTTCTGCACTGGACTGACAGGCTAACTACATCACAATGGATGGCAATCAGAGTAGACCAGACAGCCTGCCATTTCGCACAGGGACTGGAACAGGCTTCAGTGAGTGGGCCTCTTCCCTGGCCTCCTCCTGCAGGGTGCCTTTCTGCTCAGTAAGACTAACTCCAGAGGCTAGGTTCTGACATCTGACCACCTGACCTGGAATCCTGACTGCCACTTATGTGTGTGACAATGGGCAAATGACTTAGCTTCTCCTCAGTTTCTTCATTTGTAAAATGGAGATAACACTATCTGTGTTAGGAGCTGTCATAAAAGTTAATCAATAAAGATGTGAAGCACTTGGGACAGGGCCTAACACTCAACGATATCTCCTGTTGATTCACGTCTGGCTTCCATGTTGCCTGAAAACCTAGGGAGGTACACGCCACTCATCCTTTCTCAGCTCTTGGGTCTCTCTGAGCTCACACCAGGCTCTAAGCACAGACCACAGAGCACTCTTCTCCAGGAGAGGTTGCTTAGCTAAGGCTGAATGTTCCAGGCCTCTGCTGTGGCTACAGTAGAGCCAGGGTCCTTGCAGCAAAGACCAGCAACAGGAGTCAAGTGACAACACACCCTCCCCTGGCTTTCTGCCTGCCTCAGTTGGGGCTGTCCTTGGTGGAATCTGCTAGCAAAGGCTGTCTTCACAAAAGGACTGCATACCAGAAGAAGCTCTCCAAAGCCAACTGTGTGCTCTTCTACCCCAACCATTTTCTTGGGCTTGTACATGAAGAGAGCTACACCAGCCACAATTAGCAGCACACACAGGTACTTGGCCAGTGGGTACTTCTTCTTCAGGAGGGTTACCCCAAGGAGCATAACTATTGGGGAAACAAAAATAAAAACAGTGATAATTCAAGCGCCCACTGGAATTAGTGACCCCAATACCCTCCTCCTAAGAATCATGTCAAGATTGAGGGAGAAAAGAAGGTGGGAGCTAGGAGGGGTGTCAGGCCGGCACCCAGATAAAGACGATTGAGCAACAGGCTTGAGTAATGGATAAGGTGGAGAAGGGCAGAGGACAAAAGTCCAGGAAGGAGCTGGGCAAGGCTGGAGAACTAGGGGAAGATGAGGGACTCAGGGTATGAGATGACAGTGTAAACACAGGGGACACTACAATGGCTGAGGACACAAAGTAGGCAAGGTCAGCTTCTGGCCCCCACTCAGCCTGTGTACACCAGAGGAAGCAACAGATGACAGGAAAGGGCCTAGAGAGACCTATGATGGCATGGTAACCCAGAGGGACTCAGAACTCTGGGAGAGGAGGGGGGGAGGAGGAAGAGGGAGCACAGGAGATGGAGACTGGACCATCTTCTTTGCTTACCTGGGATTGGCTTGCAGGATTTACCGAGGACCTGAAATAAAAGTGAGCAAGTAATTTCTGAGCGCCTGTGGTGTGTCAGGAAGTATAGCAGGTGCTACATTAAGAGGCATTAGCACTAGACCTGTACCTGAGAACTTGGCCTCAAGAAGCAGCCCTATCACAGTCAAACCCATACCCTTACCCCAATTCTGTGGTCCTACATGCTACACTCTTCTCAAGCATATTTTGCTATGACTGCCCACCCCCTCTGTGTTTTTAAACACAGTCTCAAGTAGCTCAGGCGGGCCTTGAACTGGATATACAGATGAAGATGATCCTGAACCTGTGACTCTGATCCTCCAGCTCCTATCTCCTGAGTACTGGGATTGTAGGCCTGTGACACCGTGCCTGGCTCATGCAGTGCTGGGGATGGAACCCAGGTCTTCATGCATGCTAAGCAAGCTCTACCAACTGAGCTACATCCCTAGGTCTCTAGGATTGCTTCTTTTTATTTCAATCACAGACCTGAGCGAAGACCCCCTTAGTCCTGTCCTCACAGTTCTGAGCCAACTCTCATCTCACCCTGAGATTTCACCTGAGTTGGATAGTTGACAAACTGTAGTGCTGAGTTGCTGGAGACCATGGCACCCACATAGGAGACAGAGCAGGCAGCATAGAGCCAGGTCCGAGTACGATCCACCCTGGCAGTGTCAAAAAACTGGATCACTGGGAGAAGACAAAAATAAAACAAAAACAAACAAAACATACAAGAGAAACCCGGTGGGGCGAGGATGGACTACGAAGCAAAAGTTGAGGCCATATGAAAGGAACTTGTCTGTCAAATAAGACAGCTATTTCTACCCTCTTAAGCGGGGAATCTCTGAAAAGTATTCATCTCCCCAGTTCTCCTTAAGCCTAACAAGACCACATGCAGAGTGGAGGTAGGGATTCATTGAATTCTAGAAAGGATGGCTTAACTCTGCCAATAGGCTTCAAGGAACAAAGACATGTTTGAAGCAGTCATACAAAGCAAAGTCAAAGGAATAAAGGGGAAAATGTTCTAAGTATTTTCAGTGGAGATTTGGAATACAGAAGACCCAGTCATTTCTGACTCAAAAGTCGGCATAATTTAAAGACTTAATATGTTAATCTCATTTCACAGCCATTGGTTTTACAGACTGCAGAGAGGCTGTTTAAATACTCAAAGGTTTGGAGGAAGGGAAAACTTAGGTTTTAAAGATGAATCCACGTCTAATGCCCAGAATATGGGAGAAAGGAGGATGCACCCAACAAATTATTATGAGGTACTCACAGATCTTGGCAAACATAGCATTGATCACACACTGGATGAAGACCAAAGTTAAGGCAAAGGTGAATGTCTCCTGTTTGGGTCCTTCCCCATACTTTCCTCTTGTTCTAAGATGAAATGCATGAAAAGAGGAGAAATTAGTATACGTCACTTGGTGTCATCAAGTTTGTTCAGTGCTTTTATGGATGTAGTGAGAGTTAGTAAGGACCATTGAGTTTATTTACCCAAGGGGGCCAATTTGAATTAAACCTAGAAACTAGATAGGCTAGCCTGATATCATAACCTACAGAAGGAACATCCGGAAAGAATACAGGTAGTGACAACAATGAAAGTCAGATAGCGGAATAAAAGTATCCCAGTCGGAAAGCAAGACCGAGATAAAAAAAGATTAGCGGTCTGCAAGCACCTGAGAGTTCTAAAACAGAGCTGGATCTTGTAATCAACAAAGCTAAAAACATCTAAAGGAGAAAAGAGAATCCCACCCCCCTCCCCCAAATCAGAGGCTGGCCCGCCCTGGAATTTTAGAATTACAAGGATGCTCAGCCGGCAATGCGTAATAGCAGAGTGCAAGAGAGGTCAGAGGGCCGGGCCGGAGAAGGGAAAAACCTATACCAGACACAGGAAGCCTGAGGACCAGGCCGTAAAGTGGGCGGTGGACAGTGCGTGCCGGCCCTGGTTGGGGGATGTTATCAGTCCTGCCCCCCCAAGGGTCCACTCACATCTTCTCCTGTAGGATCCCATAGTAGAAATAGCAGACAAAGACACCCAAGAAGCACAGCGGCAGGCGCAGCCGGTCAGGCACCAGGGATCTGCTAGCGGCCATGAGACGCACGGACGAGTCGGCCGGAGACCCGCTCAAAGCAGGTAGCGGTAGCGGCGGCGAAGGCGAAAGCTCCAGGCGGACATCGCCGGCCGGCGGCAGGGGCCTCATAGGAGCTGCGTGCGACCGCCGCCTCGTAGGACGGGGCAGCTACCTCCAGAACTGCCAGCTCACAACTGCTGAGCGGAAAATGCCTCCCGCCTCGGCAGCGGCATTCTAGGAAAGAAGGCAGGTCTTGAGACCTTGACTTCTTTCCTGGTGGCCAGGATATCGAGCCATATCGAAGTTAATGCCTCATCCCCTGGATTTTTCCGATCAGGCGACGCCGAGGACACCTATAACCCGGAGCTCGGTGGGGAGGCCTAGGAAACAACCCGGCGTATAGTGATGACGCACAAGTATGTGGACTTTACCAATTGGCTACGCGGAGCGAAAATAGACAGATGGGCGGAGAAAGAGGCGGTGAGGCCAGGAGTGAATCAAAAGTCTTTTTTTTTCTTCTTTGCGGTAGGCTGTCAGGCCTCGGCTGGGTCCTAACGCCGAGAACTCTTCATAGAGCCATAGCGCCCTCTAGCCGCTGCTCAGCGTCAGCGACCCCAACCCCGTCTTTGGGCGTTCAAGGCCTGCTTGAAGAATATGGGGTCTTGTGACACTTGACTAGGTTTCCAAGGCAGGAAGTCCGTTGGGCAGGCTCCGTGATAAATCAGGGCTCTTGTCACTTAAAGGCTGCACAGCAGTGTTACTTAAATTCTGAGCCACAGTATTCTCACTCTGTAAACTAGGGGCAATTAGTAATAACCACCCTGTCACCCTTTGAATGTTCTGAGGATTAAATGAGCTAAGGTTTGTCAAAGTGTTTTACAAACTGTAAAGTGTGCTGTGCAAGTTTGAGGTATTATTAGTCATCACATTTTCTCAACTTCAATCTTATTTCCTCACCTCGTGGAGGTGAAAACTTCAAGTTTATTGAAATGATTTTTTTTTTTCGGATGGGGGGAGCCAGGGTCTCATGTAGTTCAGACCTCCCTGGAACTTGCTATGTAGGAGAATGACCTTAAACTCACAATCCTTTGCTCTCCGCCTCCCCTCCAAGCACTTAAGTGAATTATTTTCAAGGCCTCCTAACCCTCACACACACCCCATCCCGTTATTGGGATCATCCTTGGACTCCTTCCCAATCCAATGACTGGCTCTCCACCTGCTTGACTAGAATTGCCAAAGCAAGACTAACACCAAGCCCCCAAGTCCCCCACCTAACAGCTGATCCAGTTTGCAGGCAGTCCTGGACCTCCGGTCTGCTTTTCTCTTCTAGAAGCCTGGCTCCTTTGGCACAGCCTAAGGCAAAGGAAGGAAAGGCCAGGCAACACCACACCCATCACTGGGGACCTGACTCACTAAGGCTTTGGGGACAAGCCAGACATCTTTCAGGGCTAGGAGGACTAAGAGAAGATGGGGTCTGTCTCTTGCCTACTGTCTTCTTTTGGGACGAGGAATTCCCACACTTTTACTCTTGCTCTTTGCTTTACCGAATCAGCAGACACTTCCAGGGAACCAAACAGTAACCGGTAAGTAGTGGATTTCATTTCTGCCTCTTTAAATTACCAACTGGGACCACAAACAATCCACTTGATGTGGGCTGAGTTTCCCCATGGGAAATCACTGACAATAACCAGCAGGAGAACTCTGTGGTTAGGAAGCACTGGCTGTGGAGAGAAGTGATAATGGTTCCTTTCCTTACTCCCCACCTTGGTATGGTCTTTTTGGAAAAACGTATTCAATCTTTTTGGTCTTCCTTCACTCAAAAAGTGGTACTTATATTTCTCTCATCCAACGTTTGTCATATTTCCAATGACATTTCATTTAAAGCCCCTAACTTGGTATGTGGTGATTACCAAACCAATGGATAGTAGTTGGGATAGCCTGGCCTAGGAGTCTATCCTGAGGTCTTCTGGGACAGATATAATTGTACCTGTTAGAGTAGACTTTCCATCCAATAGAATGGGAGTGTCTTTTGCTGAAATGCCTCTTAAGTTCCACGCACTAAGAGAATGTTGGGATGGCGATTCCCACTTCCCTAGGCATCTAAGAGCTCTTAGCAGGCACCACCTGAGAGGCTATGAAAGGACAAGTACAGTTTCTGCACCCCCTCCACGGCTGCACTCCGAGACACAGGCATGGTAGCTAAAACCTTAATGCTACCTTAGCTGCATGTCTTAGCTGCAAGTCATTCCCTGGCCTCATTTCACTGCCAGAGCAAGGAGTACCTACAATGTCAAACTGTCTCCCTTCAGATGCCCTCATGTTCCCTCTCAGCCCCCTGTCCCTCAGGAGCCTTTTCAGCCTATTGTTAGCACCTTCCCTAGTGACTCCTGTATCCACGGGCAGGACACATCATGCTCTCCATTCTAGACAAGACTTTGTGAGTCTACCATTAGTGTGTCTTTGTGAAGAGTCTCTAGCAAGGTCCATCCTTACAGCAACTAGATCAGGATGTGTTAAATGGAGGCTCCTTCTCTTGAAGACAGGCTAAAGTGACAGGTATAACACCTTCCATTCTACCCCACTCCTCCCATCCCAGGTATTCAGAAACCCCAAACTGCTGGAATACTTATTTATTTGGTCTATTAACATCAAGATCTGCAAAAAACAACTTCTAAACACAAGATAAGAAAACTCGAACATTAGCATTCTTCAATTTTGTGTAAGCTCTGCAGTACGGAAAATATACAAACTTCAAATAGCTGCAAAAATAGTGTCTTTGGGAGAAAATAGAGTTTCTACATAGATACAAGAAAATAGGCATTTTTCTAATCCAGCCCAAGCCTGGAGCAGGTAGAGGGTACGGAGCCACTATATGTCACCTGGAGGAATGCCAGCTCTCCCTCTTCCCATTATCCACTTTGGGCTGGGATGCTGCTTAAGACAATCTTTAGTCAGGGTAAAAGTGAGATGAAAATGCCACTTGGGAAATCTCGTGGTCCCCTGCCAACAGCTGAATTGGTCAAGTGTTCTGGCCCTGAGGACCACTTTGGTAGCTCCTCTAGGAGGGAGGCATCTGGTCTCCTCTCCTCTGTCTCTAGAGGTGGAGCTATAAGGAAGTCTGTGGCATCTCCCCTCTGTCATTCACAGCCAACTTGTTCCATAACAAGAGCCTCCTATAAGTCACTTGAACTCACACCCTGGGCTAGAAGACTCCAGATCTTCTAGCAAGTGAGGGAAGCCGCAGGTACACAAGTGTAAGTTGTGAGCTGCCTTGCTGCTAGTGGAGAAGGTAAGTCTCCTCCCTTTTGGAGGGGCTGACATCCACCAAAGGACCAGGGGCTTTGACACAATAAATGAAAGTGCTCAAAGGCCAAGAGGGAAGGGCTCCTCCATCCCCCGCTTGGGAAGCTAATGAGGAGCTTGCCACCAAGGCACTAGTCTCCATGGTAAAAGTGTGTGTAAGGGAGGCAGGGCTCAGACTACCAAGGAGCTCTGGAAAAGCACGGACTCTTCTGATGGTGGGGTGCGCTGCCACGGTTCAAATGGCAGTGAGGAGGCCTTGGAAGCTTCTGGATCCTTCCGAGGTGGTGTCTTGGGGCTGGCAGGGGGAAGAGGAGAGCCAGGGCTGGAGGGGCAGTTCCGGAAGATGAAGCCCACGCTGGGGAAGAGGGGCTTGATCAAGCTGACAGGGCAGAAGGCTGAGCCAGTTGGGTTGAAATGGACTTTGTTCTTGTCAGGACAGGAAGTCAAGAAGGCCAAGTCAGGACCTGGGGACCTAAAGGATGGAGAGAGCCACAGACACGTAAGTACACAGAAAACAGTTACTGAAAGAAGGGAGACTTTGCTTCAGCAGGGCACCCTGAGAGCTGGTGCCCTGGTCAGAGAAGACAGTAACCTGAGAAGAACCTAACAAGCTCTGCCACTTTTCAGACCCCTCAGGTCTCACTGCTGCTGCACTGGGTTTTGTCAGAAGCAGGGCTCCCGGCCTAAGCCTTTTTGACATCTTTTGACATCCCTGTTTCAGGGATGGGTAGAGAGGCACTGCCACGCATGTCACAGGACATTTAACAGCATCCCTGACTGTACCAACTAGACATCAGCCGGATAATGTCTCCTTCTCCCTAGTTATGACAACTAAAAATGTATCTTGGGCTAGGGTTTTAATGTGCAGTATTCTATATTCCCCAATATAGAAATATATACATATAAGGAATTCTCAGTAGGAAACTGGTAAAAATGAGTTCCTAGGAAATAACTGATCAACACCACCTTTCTTAAGGCCTAATGCAGAGTGGGAAGCTAGAGGAGACAACTGCGAGACTGCCTCTGTCTTCATGAGTCTGTGACACAATGAGGACCAGTCACAGCCGCACTTCCATCTTCCTTCATGGTGTGGAGCCCGGGGAGCTACAAGAGCCCAGCCTGTATAAGCTATGAGAGAAAGCCTTTCTTCCACAACGCCTCAGAGGACCACCAGGCAGCAGTGGGGACAGTAACAAAGACCTGCTGACAGCCGTACTTTTCCAGAACGCCCACCACCATGGGTTGTCTTCTCCCTTGGTTGAGATACAAATGGTGCCCTCAATGCCCGAAACCCAGACCTAGCCAAATCTTTACTCCCACACTATGACTAAACTTCCTGGCTGCTACTGAAACCACAACTTCCAGTGTGAATCTGCCCAAATGAATACAAAGCTGCAGGAGAAAATAGAGCAAGCTCTCCCAGACCTGCAAAGGGGACTGGAGTGGCCTCTGGAACAGCCATACTCAAACCTATACAGATGGTAAAGATGGTGGGTGGCTTTTGAACCTTCCAATGTGATTTGAGACTATTCCAAAGTTCTTTCTTGCAAGAATTAGAGATTTCTTTCTGGAAGTTCACAACACTAGAACTGAACAGCCACCCAGGGGGTAAAAAAGTACTGGCATGTTGGTATGTGTATTTTCTCTCATTCATTCATATTCTCTCTCTCTGTCTCACTCTCTCTGTGTCTGATTATGGTCTAGCAAGTCCTCACACTTTCCCCAGGGATGGTTAAAAAAAAATAGAAGGAACAAAAGGCTTAGGTTTCAGATCTCTTTCCCTTCCAGCTCCTGCTGCGCTTGTGGCTGGCATGTGGGCAGAAAGCAGGTTTCTATGGAGATAATGATAAGCAAAGATTTAAGTGCTCAGAGTAGGTAATGTCAACAAGTTTGATCATGGAAAATCTGCGAGACTGATCTTCCGATGTTGACAGCACCTCAGACTGGAGAGAGCGGAGACTGAAGAAGGACCTGTCAGGTGGGATAACACAGGCTCACGCCCCATGCTCCCCTCCCTCCCATGCCCACCCATGGGATGTACTCACGTGGCCTCCTCAAACACACGCACTCTCTCACAGCCTTCTGGGGGCTCCCGTTTGAAGACGTAGCTGTGATTAGGCCGAGGGGAGGCAGCAAAGGCAAGGACTGGAGATGGACTGCCATCTTCTAGGAAGGCTGGATGGCCTGGAGAGGATACAAACAGAGCAGCATTGAGTCAGCAGAGACAAAGGAAAGCCTCCACTTTTCCCAGCTCAAGCCTTCTGTGCAAAGGGGCCACACAGCTCTACTATTCAGGCATATTTTGTACTGTTCCATTGAGGATGGGGGGTGTAGCCTAGCAAGTAGCTGTAGAAAACTTGCTAAGCAGTATGAGGCCATGGGTTCTAGTCCCAGTACCATCACCAAAGGGGGCAAATGTTGCTGAACTAATAGAAAAGATTCCTTTTAGTCTTGTATTTCCAGGAGCCAAGAGACTACCTGGATCTCTGACATAAAGCAAACTACCTGCTGTCCTTCTGTCTTCTCCTGGGAGCAGTGTCTGTCTGCATTTTGAAAAAGCTATCTCCTCCTTGCAGAGAGTACTCCTGTATTAACCCCAAGAAGCAACCTTGACTCCACCCCACTCAGAGTATAAAATTTCTCTTACTTTCCATTCTGTAACTGCACTTTGCCTAGGCTGCAAATATTGACTTTATCTGTGTTTCTCTTACATTTATTCCTCCTCATTCTGTGCTCTGTTTATTTTCCTGTGTATATTGTTAGATCGTGCCCTTGGCTAGCCTACCTCATGAGGTCAGTACAAGCAGCGAGTCAGATGGTGTGGGCAACAGTGCTTTCCAACATATGGTGTTAGTAGGATTCCTGCCTTATTCTAAGTGTGCACAGTCAAGGTGTGCAAGGGATAAACTATGGATTCAGAGCCAGAATGTGGAGGTGTCAGTCTGGGCCAAACACGCAGGACCCTGATTAAGAGACTGCATTGTTTACTAATTTATAACTGCCTTGAAGCTCTTGTTGGATATGAGTCAAGGGGACCCATGAACGTTGATGCACTGGCTTTCTACCTTGGCATCCTGATCCTCAGTCAAATAACAGGGATGGGAAAGGCTGCTCTTTTGGGTTAGAGACTTTATAATATAAACTAGGAGTCAGAGTGCTGTAGGGCCATTATTATCACAGGTAGAGTGTACAGAATGATGACTCACAAAGATACTGGTTGGTTCATAATAATGCCAGGCCTGGAACTGCTCATGGCAAAGGCCAGTGGAACCCCCTTCCTGTGACCCAGAGCCAGCTCTAGTGCCTTGGCTCCATGACTTACCTTTGTCACTGGGGATGGATGTCAGCTCCTCAGTGGCACCTCGCTGCTCCTCACGGTTGGCCTGGCCAGGAGGCTGGGGGGACACCAGTGGCACAGAGGGAGAGCTGGTCATATTGCCTGGCTCCAGGAGGAGGAGGGAACGGTCACAGCTGCTATTCTGTGGAGGAGCCGGGGCACGGTGCCCATCAGGGACCTCAAGTATCTGATGAGGAAGGAGAAGAGACTCAGTCCAGGGCCTTCTCAGGCCTGTGACATTGTAGTGACCCTCAGGGGACTCCTGCACAAAGTCTCTTTGCCTGGGGGACAGAACTCTGTCACTTCCTCAAGCCATTCATTCCCTGACCTACCTTCAGTCTAGGAGAAACTCTGTTTTTCCCAAAGCATTTTTGTTCTGTTTCCTCGAGGCTTGTTAATCCAATATACAGCCACGTTCATTGTGTGATGTGATCAGTGCCCCTCTGTGTACGAGTCTCTTGGACACAAAGGTGATTGATACACAGGGTGACATAATAGAGGCAAGATACCACAACAGCACGCATGCTATAAGCCACTGCAGGACAAATGTGCAGATGGTTATCATACATGGATACCTATTGCCCTCCTTTTTAAACATTGGATGGTATTTGGATTCCCAGTGAACTAGTTGTGTGATGTGTTTGGGGGGCATATGAAATCCTCCATATATCCAATTTACAAGGCAGTCAGAAGCTGGGTATGGTGGTGCACGCCTTCAATGCCAGCACTTGGAAGGTAGAGGCAGTGATCTCTGTGAGTGAAAGACCAGCCTGGTCTACAGAGTGAGACCCTGTCTCAAAAAAAAAAATAAAATAAAATAAAAAAATAAACTAAATAAAATGAAAACCATCCAGGAGGTAAATAACAAACTGAGGACTGTACCCATCACAATTATATTCATAAAGCCTAACTATGTCAGTATAAAAACGTGCCTGAGACTTCAAAAGAGGTAGCTGGTAATTCTGCCCGAGGGACAGGGAGAAGGGTGCATACGGCACCTGTGCATGAGGGACTGATTGATGCCTGTCACTCACTCTGTAGAGACAGACGGAGGGAGTGGCCCGAAAGTGAGGTGGCATGAGCTGAGGCACATGTGGGTGAGGGTGCCCAGTCCTCAGAGACCTGTCACCTGCCAGTGTCCTCCTAGCTAGGGCCCTCCTCTATGCTCATTTGTCATGGTTAATAATCTTGAGTGTTGTCATTACTGAAATTAGAACCCCTGAGGAAACGATCTCTGGGCATGTCTGTGAGGCATTACTTAAAGTGGGCTGAATGAGATGGGAAGATGCCCCATAAATGGGCGTGGCACCATTCCCCAGGCTGGGGTCCCAGATTGAACACATGCATTCATTGCTCTCTGTTTCTGGCCAGTTAGTTTGTCACAGCCAAGATAAATAACTGGCCTGTCTCCACCATGAGGTCTTTCCTAATGCCACCCACCTATCCCTGCTGTCCTGTGCTTAGGTCCATTTGTGTACTTCTGGAAGACGGGTGTTTACAGAGCTACTGCCTGAGAGGCCCCAAAGAGTGGCCTTGCTATTTATCTGCCATCATCAGGTGCAGCCTGTACCACTCACCCTCAGCAGCTCCTCTTCACCCTGCTCCCTCACAAACACCTCTTCCAGCTCCTGGTTGAGTCCTTCTAGGCTTCTGTGCAGGCAAGGGCTGAGGCGCAGGACAGGGGATCCTGTGGGGAAGCTGGGAAGGGACCCCTAAGGAAAGGCAAATAAAGCAATCACATGAAGTCCCCACCGCGGCCCAGCCAGTTACCAATTATGAGCGGGGTGATGGTCATAGCCACATAGCTTTCTTTCCCTTCTGTCCAAGCGGGGGAAAAAAAGAACTGGATATAGCTACAGATTTCAACAAGCCCATTAAGAGGGGCTTTCTCCAGGAGCTAGAGCTTTGAGGTATCTAGAGGGTGCTGTTAGTGTCACTGCCTTAATCACACATGATTGGGGTAGAGGAAAGGGCACTAAGAACAATGAGAGGTCCTTCCGCTGCAACTTCTCCTGACCATGCGTTAGCTCATGAAACATCAATGCAGCTAGCTCAGTGCTGCACAGCTGGAAAGAACGCTACACTACAAAAGCCTGCCACAAAGGAAGACAGAGGGGGCCTGGTGGGCGGGGAGACAGCATACCCTCACCGCTCCCCGCACAGCGTGGTCTCCTTGGACAGGGGAGCTCCGTTCCTTCTCCTTCCCACTTCGGCTCAGCTTTGTCCTCTGCAGCTGTTGCTTCAACTTGGTGATCTAGCAGCCAAAGGTGGAGGAGAAAGGAGAGTGAGGCAAAGCCAGAGATATCAGTTCCTTCCCCTAGATGAAGTCCCTGTTCATGACGATACATGAAAGGGACATAGACGTCATTTTTTTTTTAATTTCAAAACAGCTCAGTCAACTCTTCAGCTAAGCTGGATACCCTGCTTCTAGATTTGATTTTTTTAATTGCCATGCATCCCCCAGGTAATCAGTCCCCAAACAGAAAACATCTAACATCATGGTTATGGATTGTAATGGACACTCTTCCACTAAGATCATGGGGTGGGCATGGTGGAGCATGCTTTTAATTCCAGCACTTGGGAGGCAGAAGCCAGTAGATCTCTATGAGTTTGAGGTCAATCTGATCTACAGAGCAAGTTCCAGGGCAGCAACAGCTGCTACACAGGGAAACCTTGCCTCAAAAATAAACAAACAAATAAATAAATGCAAACATGGGCAATGAGTGGTTTCTGTTTTCTATTTTTAAGAACCCTTTTCAGGAGACTGGAGAGATGGCTTGGTGATTAAGAGCACTTGCCACTGGCTGCTCTTGCTGCGGACCTGAGCTCAATTCCCAGCACCCACATGATGACTCACAACCCTCTGCAACTTAGGTTCCAGGAGATCCAACACCCTCTTCTGAATGTTGTGGGCACCAGTCATGAATGTGGTACATAGACATACATGCAGGCAAAACATTCATACATAGAGACAGGCTTTCTCTGTGTTGTTTTGGAGGCTGTCCTGGAACTCGCTCTGTAGACCAGGCTGGCCTCGAACTCACAGAGATCCACCTGCCTCTGCCTCCCGAGTGCTGGGATTAAAGACGTGCACCACCACCACCCAGCCTCTAAAAACTTTTTAAAATGTTTTTCAAAGGTTTGTTTTTAATTGTGGGGTGTGTGTGTGTGTGCAGGTGAGTACAGCTGCTCATAGAGACAATGAGCGCTGGATCCCCTGGAGCTGGAGTTAACATATAGGTGGTTGTGAGCTGTCTGACATGGGTGCTGGGAACTAAACTC